TTGCATGTATGCATTTAGAATTTACAGAAGTTTTTCCCTCTTAAATGGAGATGTTTATAATACCAGCTGACATCTCAGTTGACACTGTAATCCTGAGCACAAGGGTTGATCAATAAAAGTTTTATGGCTACGAGATAATTGTGGATGAGACAGAGGTGATTCTGTTTGTTTTCTATCTTTGCTAATAATAAATAAGAATATTCCTGTCTCAGAGACATATTTATTAGAATTTTTAAAGCGCTTGGTATAAAAATATATCTTTGAGATACAAGATTGAGAATTTATTGCTGCACGCCTCCCTTCTGTGAACACAAAGATGTGGTACTATCGTGCAGTAAAATATGCAAGTCCTCTGGATAAAATAAGTTTTTTAATAGTTGATATTCCTATTCTCTTTATCAAGTGCCCAGAAAAAACTCTTAGCTCTTATATAATTTCACCTTTGCTCCCTTTCCTCAATATACACTTGACTTACCCTGATTAATTTTAATACTGTTAATAACCTTGCTAGTGCCTCAGTGGCCCTGTGCAAGAGAAAAATACAGTGATAGAGTGTCACGAGGGAAGGATCTGTGACTGTGAATCATGGCTCTATCATCTATCAGTTTCTACAGCCAGAAACTGACTCTGGCTGGGCTGGGACCCTTGGGAGGGAGCCAGAGCTCTGCCCTGACCTTCTTCACTTGTGTGTGGGATAGCAGTAAGCAGGCAGCTCTGCTTTTCTTTCCCATTTGAAGAATGGAGTTAGTAGGATGGCTGATTAGAGAGATTGTTTGGGATTCAGTCTCTTTCAAAGCTGTTTAGGCCGGAAGTGCTATCTGTTTCTTGACGATTATTTTTTTTTTTCTTTAAATATTGTCACAACTCTGGAGTGATGTAAGACCTTTTACCTTAGGACCTTGAAATATCTTTAAAGCATCAGTTCCAGCATTCTGATGAGTGAGTTAATACTGTTTCCCGTATTTTACAAATTGGTAAATGAGGCAATGGAAAATGAAAATTAAAAAATTTCTACGACTTCACAGAAACTTGATATATATTCCTTCACAGTGATTAACTCATATGTATTTTGTGTCCCAGACACTTGCCAATGACTTTCTGAAAATCACAGCAAAAAGATTAGCAAGTCTTCTGTGTCTTTAGCATATTGATGTTTCTGACTGGCCAGCTTGGAGCCTCTTAATTCTTTTCTGTCATTTAGCAATGATTGTGTTTAGTAATGATTGTTTCTTTGAAGAAAGTAAAAATTTGGGCAAAGAACTGGGTGTTCCTAATGATACATTTCTGACACTTGTTTCTTTAACTTTTGCCAGGATTTTAAATGTCTTTGGCCTAGTTTTCTGTTATGTACAATAATTTGTCTTCCTTGAGGAGTTAATGACATTATTTAATATTTCCTCACAGCTCTGGAAATAGGATCTTTCTAAATCTACTACTAATAAATAATAAAAAAACCCAAAACTCATGAGCTGGGCATAAAAATCTAAATGCTTCTCACAGGAAACTCATTGCCTTTATTTGAGTGCAAGTGCAGTGTGATATCGTGGAGGTTATTCTTTGGATCCTAGTTCTGAAGGACATATACCCTAATGCATTAACAGCCCCATCTGATGTAGGAACATGGTTTTGGGTTAAGGAATGGAAAAGTCAATTGATTAGATTTTTCAAATCAAGAAGTTAACTGTCATGCCAATTTTTTTCCTGTATGTTTGGTAATTTCTTATGAAAATATACAAATAAAAAAGTGTTTTTGTGAAGGAGTTTGTGTATTCCTACTTCTTTCTTAAGTAGGAATAGAAAGCTACAGAACAAACAAGGATGGGACTCTTCCCTCAGCATTCATTCTGCGGGCAGAGGTTTTGCATGTGTCCTTCCACTCTAAAATGCACTAATGTCACTTTTAGGATAGATGGGGTTCACAGGCTGCTTTTCACAAATGTGAGAAGCCCTTCGGTTCCTGATAAACAATTTCTATTCAGGGACCTGTAGTGACTGTGTAGTGGAAGCTGGATGCTATTTGTCCAGTGGAAGCTGGATCCTAAACTAAGACTCAAGCTTTTCTTTGAATTAAAAAAAAAAAAAGATAAAATAATCCAACCTCACCTGTGTTGTCTGCCTTAAATGTGAGTCTGTCTTTGTTTTTGCAGCTCCATTTTGCTTGAAACTTTATCAGGAGATTTTGCAGTCTTATAATGGGGCTTTGCTATGGACTTTCCTGAAACCTTTACTACATGGGAAGATACTGTACAATTCAAACATCAACATGATTGACCTGGTGATGCAGAAGGTGAGTATCAAAAGAAACACTATTTCTGTTTATTGATTTTGTCTTTGTACTTGATTTTAAAGGTCCACTTGTTTCAGGGTAGATAGAAACAATTGGATAATTGCCTTTCAGCAAACTGGATCCACCCTGCCCCCTGAGTTTTCACCTTGTTCCCACTTTAAGCTTAATATTTCTCTTAACTTTTATCCTCCTTGTTGCAGTGGTTTCACCTCAGTGTGAAAAGCAGAATTTTGTTCTTAAGTCCCTTAAACCTTGCATAGAAAGATCAAAAAGAACACATTAGCAGAAGTGTCAACTGAATCATGCTGTATTAAGGTGCAGGATATATGGATTCCAAGTGAGCTTTTGTCCTCAACATTTTATTATGATGGGAACTCTAATGGGGCAGCATAGGGAACTGAGGGGATGAGACGACCCAGGAACAAAAGCCTGTTCTGATGGAGTCACTGAGCTGCGTTTGAAAAACCTAACAACCTAAAGTACATCCTTCCTGATCGTGTTTCTAACATTAGTAATATGAATGATCAGTAGTAGCTGAGCTGCCATATTTGTGAACACTGTTGATTTGATATTATTCAACAGTTTTACTGTCTCTGCAGTTTTAGTATGGTAGGTGCTCTGTCTGGAGCATGATTATCTGCAATCATATGTTTGCTTATGACTAGCTTTGAGGCACTTCTGTAAGAGGAGGGATGATGACTTATTTTAAGTACACATTAGAGTTCTGTGCAAATTTTGCATTTATCTTGCAAAAATATGACTTTTACCCTGGAATATTACTTATTGCAAGAATGATAACTTAGGATAATTTAAAATCTGGAAAAAGGCATTACTGCTTGTAAGTGGTACACAAAGAGACTGTAGTAACTTTAAAAGTGAAGGTAACTATTTTCCACGTAAATGGAGTACAGCATGGTATTCTGACTCATGCTCTAAAAAGACAGTAAAAAATCCCTAAGCCAAAAAGCACATACTAGGTAGCAGATAGTAGGTTATAGTTTCTGTTGTGAAATGGAAATAAGTTTTCAGTGATTTTTGCAGTGAAATAACTTAATTTGGGCAACAGATTATCTCTCTGGAGTTGAGTATAATTAATTTAAAATTATTAGTCAGCTAAAAATGAAGCTGTTCTTGATGCTTAATAGATGGAAATTCTATAACGAATGAGTTGTAAGAAATGATAAAAATTCCGGATCGTTTTGAATACTTAATTATATTCTGTGTTACAGTGACATTTAGAATAATGCACTTAAGACATTTACACATTATTTTGCGAATTAATATGCCAAACCCACATTCTTAAAAGCATTTGTAAGAAAGATAAATCTCCTGACATATGTTGTGTTCCCCTAAAGATCTTTTAGTGAAATCCTGACTGAGTAATACAGTTCAGGATGAAGTTTGTTTGATTGTTTTTTTAATGCTCTGGAACAATACAAAGATTCTGGTAGATGCCTCTAGCACAATGTCTCATTCTCACTATGTATTCTCAGGCTTATGAAAGTTCCATAAGTTTATTCAGGAATCTGTGTGTAAATACAACCCCACCCTTCCCCCAAACCTGTAGATTTAACAAGCAATTGTGGATGTATATCTGTTTATGTGTAAATATGAAAGTAGTAAGAAAGATTCTCCAACAATTTTTTAATTTGTTGTGTTACAGAAGGCTATCAGCTATTGCTTGACTTGATTCTGAACAAAATTTAAATGCAAAGTATTGTTCCAGGTATATCGAACACAGCTACTAAAAACTGACCCTATCGCCCTTACACAGACCAAATCTACTACTGACATAGGAACAGAAGTTCAAATTTCCTTTAGACTATGTGACAAGATGCTGGCTATTTACTAGAAGAAAAAAGTAGAGGATTAAACCTAAAAAGAACATTGATGTTTGTATACTAAGATGTATTCTGTAAGTTTTTTCACATGGACTATTTTGTTTCGAGACTGTGTAATTGACCATTCTTAGATAAATTGTGAGGTTGCTGGTTTTAGTTTCTAAGAATTCAACAGTTCTACTGTGTAGAACAACAGTGACCATCACAGATACAGGCTGCAGTACTGACTGAGAGCAAAAAGGTTCAGTGACAACCACCACCCAGAAGTTCAAAGACCACGTGTGATGTCTTTGATCCTTGCTTTCGCAACTGAACTTTTTGCCACTGATGAGCTGATCTTATGAAAGTATTTCTTATTTCAAAAGATTCTCAGAGTTGATCTTATGTTCAGGCAATCACATTAGGACAACTTTGTGGTATTTCTTTGTAATTGGAACAGTCAGGAAAAAAAAATAATAAATGTAGCAAGACAACTGAGAAACGAAAGAAAGAAAACAAGTCTAGCAAATCCATTAATTTCAGTTTCCTGTCTTTTTGTTTAGTATAATTAGAAAAAATGATAACGAGTTGAGTAAGTTCGTACTCAAAACTTACATTTCCTGCCTGGCTTTGCATAAGCACACTTGACTTGTCAGCCTGTTAAAAGATGTCATTATAAAAGCAGTTCAATAAGTTCAAAATACCATTTTTATTTATTCTTAGATCAGGAAGAGGCTTAGACATATTAAACGCAGGCAGGACTGTAGTTGATATTGAAGACAGTAATTTTAATCAAAGGCAGTATCCAGCCTAGGTGTTACAAAGAATTTTTGTTTTAATGGATCTTCATTGATTAGGAAGAAACGAACTTGAAGAGAATTTCTATTAAACATCAAAGTGCATCTGGCCATCAGCATGCAAACTTACAGGAGTTGCTTTACCATGTAAGATTAAACATTCATCTTTTC